GAAATGGGAATAGAATGGGACTCCAAGACCTTCCCAGAGGGTCCCCAAAGTCAAGTAAACATTTCAAAATTTCTCGGCTTTAATTCCTAATATTGTAAATATTGATTGATATAACCCACATAAACCGAAGTTGTTGTTTTTTAAGAAGGTAAAGGAGTCCTGATGCTAAAACATTTGAGAACCACTGTGATGGAGAATTCTCATCTGACAAGAAGGATGCCGGGCCATCCTATGAAGCCCCCTGTCAGGGTTCCAAGTAAGAAACTCATAGCAAGCAAAACTCCGAAGCAGGTAAAGAATAGCTTTGTTGCATATATCACATTGGCGCAGATCTGGTGAAAACAGACTCCGAAGGTTCCTGCAGTTTTCACTTAATTAAAAGTAAAAGCTCTTCACTTTCTCAAAACAATCAGTCACATGGCCCAATCATGGCTCTGTCTGGTTGCCTGGAGACATCGCTCCTCCTTCCGCTGAGCAAGGTGTGAGAATGTCCTTGGGTCCCAAGAGAAAGTATTTTATTTTGGCTACAAAGCCCCAGCTGACAAGCTCAGCATCTTTAACAACTGACCATGATCAACAAAGGTGGGATACAAATAAATATATGATGGGATTGTGCCATCTGATTCCTCACTTCTGGTGGATTTGCATTTCAGCACACCTGTGTTCCTTATTTTCCTTCCCGGCCAAATTCATCTTCCTTTTCTTTTAAATTATTTTTCCTTTCTGCAACAGCTGAAGTGCTTTGGGGCAGATCTAGGGAACATTGGATCTGATCATGATTTAAGACGAACAGAAAACCCTTAGTGACTTCTGCCACAAGACGCCTAGATTCAGCAACAGCTACTTGGAAGTGTGTATTGGTTGTTGCTATTGTTGTTGTTGTTGTTATTATTATTATTTGACACAAAAAATGACAGTGTACACAGCAAACGAGATGACTATGCTGGGTTTCGTATCACAAATCACTAGTCGAACACTTCCCAAACGTTTAGGACTGCATGATGTATCGGCGGATTATGTGAGCAGATCTGAATAAGGTGGCTTTCTGCAGCTGACCAAATGGTGATTTGGTCAGCGCCAATTGTTTTCAAATGCTTGCCTAGGTCTCTAGGCAAAGCACCCAGTGTGCCGAGTACCACTGGAACCATCTGCACTGGTTTATGCCAGAGTCTTTGAATGTCAACGATCCACACATCATCATCATCATTGTTATTGTTATTATTATTATTATTAATTTAAAACTACTTCATTCTTTGTGATCAGGCATTTATAATCGTCACTTTCTGACAGGTTCAGAACGAGGCAGCTGTCGAAGAAAAATGTTGCCAAGAAGGTATGTCTTGAAATGGGTGCCGAGTACAACAACAATGCAATTTTTAACAACATGCTGATGTAGGTGGAAAGGAAAAAGAGAAGAAACTGTCAAAAAAAATGCCAGCAAACAGCTAAGAAAGGAAAACAATTCCAGATTGAATAGCCTCTGAGGAAAAGAGAGAACAATGGCTGTTGCAATTATGATTAAGTGACGGATGATCCATTTCTCCATCTCCCCCTCCCCAGCCCTCCCCCCCAAGTCCCACACACGCACTTCTCGCCCCCGACTGTTTTTTTTTTTTACTGGAATATTTTCTGGTGCATACGTTGAAAAAGCTTGGCATTGTCACTGGAAGGTATTATTCATGCCATCCGTTGAAGCAAAGACTGTATTGAAGTGGCTGGTGTGTTTTTTTTGATAGTGCTACGTTTCCTTAGCAGTGCAGTCATTTCTCTTTTCACAAGGGTCTCAATACATTCAGCTGTGTGGCTAAAAAATGAGACTACAGCTTCCTACAGTGAAACTACAGGTAGACCTCAACTTACAACTGTTCGTTTACCGACTGTTCGAAATTGCAACGGCACTGAAAAAAGGCTTGCAACATTCCTTTCCAAGACCCTGGGTAGGCAAGGCCCAACTGACTTAGGGTACCAAGAAGTGGCACTAGGTCTAAAATAATTGAATAAATAAGGTAGATCTTGACTTACAATAGTTCATTTACTGACTGTTCAGAGTTACAATGGCACTGGAAAAAGTGACATGATCATTTTTCACACTTAAGACCATTGCAGAAACCCCGTGGTCATGTGGGAAGAAAAATCCATGGGATAATCTTCCCTATTCAGCTTTAACAAGGAACAGCTACTGTTGTGATTTAATTATTTGTATTGTGTTTGAATTTTTTCCTGCCTCATGGTTTCTTTTTCTATCTGGGGAGGGGTTCTTCCTCACTACTTTAGTACTATTGGCACTGTCCTTTTTGGGGTGTACTTCCAAGAGGCAGGATGCAAGCTTGGCACTGATTTTTTTTACTGCCTTTCTGGGGGGCATGTGACCTTTCCTTAAAGCTGGATGATTTCCTTAGGATATCTTGTGAGGTGAGTGAGACCAGCTTTAAGTGGTGGAAATGGGTCTAAGGATTGCTTTTCCTGGGTGTGCTTTTTCTGGAGAGCTTAAATGACCTCTCTGCTAAAGGGTTTCACTTTATGAGCAAGAGTTGGCTGCTTCATAGTTATCACTGCATTTTAAATATTTTCATTCCTCAAGGTGCTCTGGCACCCTGACGGATTTGTAACTCTGGCTTGCAGGTATTTTTAATCTAATGATTGGTATTTAGGGCAGCTTTTTGCAAGCAAAGAAGCTTTTTGTATTTTTGTACAGGTAATCCTTGACTTACAACAGTTCATTTAGTGACCATTCAAAGTTACATGGCACAGAAAAAAGTGACTTATGACCATTTTTCACACTTATGACCATTGTAGCATCCCCACTGTCATGAGAAGCCAGGCGAGGAGAAGCACCCCTTGACATGAGTGATGTTGAGTTGGCCATGCCCACCCAGTCACATGACCACCAAGTCACACCCACCAACTAAGCCACGCCCACAGAACCTGTTGTTAAAAAAAACTGAATCCCACCCCTGCACAAGCCCTCACTCGACATACCCACACCTGAAGCCCTTATAAACAGAAGAACACTGGACATCCCCTAAACTCCACTGAAGATGTTAGCTCGCCTGGTAACGAAACGTTTGGAAAGCAACCCACAAGCTTGGAGAACCAACCTTCACCCTCACTCCTAGAATTCTCAACTAAGGTGTTCTGATAATTGTAGCTCCCAACACATCAAAAGGGTGCCATGCTGTGAACCGGAAGTTTATTTGAAAAGACATCTGGCCTAAATCTGATTTAAAGTTAAAGACAGATAAGAAGGAAATGCAGATAATGACGTACAGGTCTTATTCCAGATTTTCCCACTACAGTGAGACATTCTGCAGGGATCAGGATCTGTGTAGTTCAATGTCCTCTGTTGACCTCTTCATTAGTGACGCATTTCCTTTAACTCACCCCCTTTTCTTTTCCTCAGTTGCTGCTCTGTTTCTGTGAACTGTCTGGCCCTGGTAAGTTTGAATGGGCTGTTTTTAATTCAAGAAAAGGTGACGTAAAGGCCAAAAGGATGTCTCCATCAGTCTGAAATCTAAGTGGAGCTCTTGTTGTTGTTAAGTATTTTGGCTTGAAACCATTATTTTGCTACCTTAAATAAATGGCCGGGTTATTCCAGCAGTCAAACAGGTCAGATAAAATTTCCATTGACCAGAATAATTCTGGCTTACAAAGAAGGAAGAGGAATATTATATAACACGGTTCAGAACTTAATGTCCCCAGACAAATCTGTATGGTGTGCTTTGAAACCTTCTGAGAAGACTAATAGAAGTCTCCTCCAACTGGAGAGAAGATAGTTGTAGAAGTGTTGGTTCTCACCTTTAAAGCCCTTCATGCAATGGTGGGCTGCAAATTTTTAAAAAACCGATTCTCTGGCTAGGTAGGCACGGCTGGTTGGTGAGTAATGTCACTCATCACACTCATGCCCGTCTCCTGGCCACTCACCTCAAAGAAAGAGGAAAGATTCAGCCGGTTGGGGCTAATCCCACCACTGGCTGACACCGCCCCCGCCCATTTTTCAGCCGGTTTTGGGGCCATTTTCAGACTGGTTTTTGAGCCATTTCTGTGCCATTTTCCAGGCCATTTTAGGCTATTTTTGGGGTTATTTTCAGACCATTTTTGGCCCAGTTTTTGACCTGTTTTCAGGCTGCCTTTGGCCCCCAAAAAACCAACTGAAAATGGCCCGACAAATGGCCTGAAAATGGCCTTAAAACATCCTGAAAATGGTCCAAAACCCAGAGTGTTTGGGGGCCATTTTTCACGCTGTTTTCAGGCTGTTTTTCAGGTTGTTTTTGACCCCAAAACAGTTGAAAACAGCCCAAAAAAATGGCTTCAAAACAGTCCAGAAACCAGGCTGAAAAACGGGCAATGGTGGGGCCAGTGGTGGGATTTGCCAGTTTGCCGAACTGCACCTAATCTTTACTACCAGTTCGCCAGAACCGGTGTGAACCAGCAGCAGCCTGCCTGCATCACATAAATAAAAAAATAACTAAGCAAACTACCCCCACTATTAAGGAAAGTGAAATCAGTCATACAAGCAAATGAACAGGCCCCACTATTAAGCAAAGTGAAAACAAACAAATAAACAGGCCTTACTTACAGGTAGTCCTTGACTTACGACTACAACTGAGCCCAGAATTTATGTTGCTAAGTGAAACAGTCGTTAAGTGAGTTTCTCTCCATTTTACCACCTTGCTTGTCACAGCTGTTCAGTGAATCACCGCAGTTGCTAAGTTGGTACCACGGTTGTGAAGTGAATCTGGCTTCCTCATTGACTTTGCTTGTTGCAAGGTTGCAAGAGGGGATCGCATTGACCTCAGGATGCTGTAACCATGGTAAATAGGAGTCCATAGCCAAGTGTCTGAATTTTAATCACATGAGCCTGAGGATGCTGCAACTGTCATAAATGTAAGAAAGGTCATAAGTCACTTTTTTCAGTGCCGCTTTAACTTTGAAGAGTCGCCACATGAACTGTTGTAAGTTGAGGACTACCTGTATTTAGCAAAGTGAAGAAAAATGGCTAAGAGCCGTGGTGGCACAGTGGTAAGAATGCAGTACTGCAGGCTACTTCTGCTGATTGTCAGCTGCCAGCAGTTTGGCAATTCGAGTCTCACCAGTATAGAAAGTTAGCACCCACCCCTCTCCTAGAATAATGAAATATTTTGAGAAATATTAAAAAGGCAGAATATTATATTTTCCTGGATGAGAAATGGAGAAACATGTTTTTTTAGAGGCAGGAAGCAGACTCGCTTTTAATAACCCACCACTCCTCCAAGCAGATATTTTGTGCCCATTAAGAAAGACTAGGCCAGCCTGTCTACAAAACAAAAGACTTTCAGCTCCAGGATGATGGAATTAAGAACAGGACATGAGCCTTTAGGACAAAATAGGATTAACCCACTATCATTTACCAGAGGATAAAGAGATCAGTATATTGCCGAATCTCCTAAAGGTATTTCAGTCATTGCATCATCTCAGAGCGGCCCAAACTTCAACCAAACCTGGCAGCTCAGACTAACCCCTAGGATTTGTACTTTGCCCATAGAGCCAGCTATGACCCCTACATAACACCTACATGACCATCTATGGGAGTCTGGCAACAGCCAATAGAATACACGTTCTTGCACAGGAACAGGAAGCTCAAATACAAAGCCCAGTGAAGCTATAAAACCCCCCCACCCACTCTCAATTTCAGAATCATGTGCTTGGTAGTTCTGCTTCAGCATTAGACCATCTTTCCAATCAGCCTCCATGTTTCTAGTGTCTTTCTCCAGGCTTGGATATTTCTTCCCACACTGGCTTAAGGTTGACTCAGCCTTCCATCCTTCCAAGGTCAGTAAAATGAGGATGCAGATTGTTGGGTGCAATATGCTGACTCTGTAAAATGCTTAGAGAAAGCTGTATAAGCCTAAGTGCTATGGCTATTGCTAAGGATTAAACAAAATGATGGGAAATGGCAGCTGAAGGCACCTGGCTTTCCTTTTTGGAACTTTCCAGCTGTTCCCTTCTATTGGGTCTGAGAGGTGCAAATGGCAGGACTGAAGTGTGATTTATGATACAAGTGTTGGGTTGGGTTGGGAGTCAGTGAGCAAAACTACGTGCCCTTTTTTAGCCCAGGAATCCACAACTGAGCTTGTCTGGAAGCTATTTCCTACTTTGGAAGCTGGTTTGAACTTTACATCATTTAAATGAGACCACCTGGGTTGGGAACTAATTTTTGGAAAAAGGGAATAGGAACATATTCTGCCTCTTGTCACGAAACTGCAGACGTGTTCTATGAGGCTACCAGAACTTGTGTTTAATTCAGAAAGTCTTTAAGGTTATCTTTTCAACTATCCTAACCTCCTTCGTGGAATTATTATAACAAACTAAGAGGTAAATCCCTTTTGAGTTCCAGAGAAGAGGCAAGATGTCACTATTCAATAAAAGTAATAACATTTAAATTGTGAATCACTCAGGTCCTTCCATGGAATAGAGAGAGATGCAATGCAGTGGTGGTATTCAATTGTTTTTACTACCGGTTCTGTGGGCGTGGCTTGGTGGGCACAGCGTGGCTTGGTGGTTGTGGCAGGGGAAGGATACTGCAAAATCCTCATTCCCTCCCCACCCCACTAACCTGCTTTCCAGCTCCGTTCTCCTGTGCAGGGCAACACAAGAAGACCCAGCCAATCAGCTTGGACTTGGGAGGCAGACAATAGATGGGGTTGGGCCAGTCAGAGCTGGTATTTTCTGGTTCTCCAATTTACTCAAAATTTCCACTACCAGTTCTCCAGAACTGGTCAGAACCTGCTGAATACCACCTCTGGTTACAACCCCTTGATATTTTCTGTTTTCAGGACATGCCAGTGATCAAGAAGATATCTAATTTAACTTGAAGCTTTTGGGCATAAAAAGTTATGCAGTGTAACAGGCTTTATTTTACAGTTTTTGGGGGCGGGGGGGGGAAGACAGTTTGTAGATAAATATAGCAGGATAAGGACATCCTCTGATTTACTGGAAATTATGAATATTTCCTTTCCAACTTTTAATGAAACCAAGTTGGATGCCGCATTCTTTTAGCCATTTTGCAGAAGAGATTTTTCAATTCTTCGGCCTTCCCAAACACGAACACATTTCAGATGTGCACAGCAAATTCCAAAATGACTCAAGTGGCATGACTATTACTGAGTATTCTGGGAACTAAAGTTTATATAACAAAAAGAAGCCAAGATTTAATGCACCAAATCTTTCATATTATATCACCCTCTTGTATTTTAGCACCTAATTGGCTTTTACAATTTAAGGATTAAATATTACATTATTGCTTAGGCTATACTCTTTTTGATGTGCAATTGACAGATAGGCTGCCAAATTGTGATGTTAACATGGATTTTATTTGTTATTTGCCACTATTCAATTCTAGAACTTTTAACTCTATGAATATTTTTAATTGTACTGGTCTTTGGCTGTAATAAATATTTTGAATTTCAATTTGAAGGCAAGACTGAAGACTCACGAGTCCTATAGAAAAAGGGCTAAATGTTAGTCAAAAAGAATAGTCTGTGGCCAGTTTATTCACAAAAATCAGCATAATTTGCCAGATAATGCATCAAACTCATTTCTACGCTAGCAGTTCATATTATTTTCTTGACCAGGGGACTCCAACCTTAGAGAATTCCCAAGTTAGCCAACATGTATTCTGGGAGTTGAAGTCCCCAAGTCTTAAAGTTGCCAAGGTTGAACACCCCTGGTCTAGACTGAGTCATCCAATCATTGTTATGCCATATTAACATTAATGTGAACAGGCTTTATATCATTTTAGTGAATGGTTGGATGATGCATTGAAGACCTTATAAATCACTAGTGTGGAAATTATCTAAGGCTATTCTGCATTTAATGGTCTAGTAGAAAAAAGGAGAGAGAACCAACTTCTCGGAGAAAGAGCTAATAAAAGTTCAACTTAGTATGCATCCATTTTAAGGTACGTGGAATTCAATTCACCAAATACTAGGGAGTTCTAGAAGTTGAAAATCCACCCAAGTTTGAAAAACACTGGTGTACAGCATCCAGTTCTAATTTCAGGGTTGTTAACAAAGAATATTGGCTTTGAAAGAGATCTCCATTCCCCTATGAATTATATGAATTATTCCCCTATTAATTATGGAATTGTCCATCAAGTTATAAATTTCTACCCCTGCGCTATATATCAGGATTTCTAAAACAAACCATCCTAACAAGAAAACATTTCTAAAGCGATCTCTGTAAACTATTGAGAAAGGAATATCCATTTATTGTCCTGCATTTTCTGTTCTGACTGACCAGAGATGGAAAAGGCAATTTCGCTTACTAAAGATTTGGCAGGGTGGGTGTTGAATGAGTATTACGTGTGGTGGCAAATGTAATTCAGCACTACTACAATGCTGTTTATCTTAGGAGATGTGAAGGAATTTGAGAGTACAGTGTACATCACGTTGTTTCTTTTTCTCATGTTATAACTTTGCCTTTCTTATTAATTCTAGCGTGTTCACACAAGCGCAACAACCAGAATTTTGAGGTTTTCCTTTGTAAAATTATAATCTTGATCGTGCTTCCAGTAGTTGCTGTTGTTTTCCAGAGTGAAGTTGTTTAGGGTGTGGCGAAATATATACACTTCATACTCTGTTAGCAATAAGACACATTTTATCCTGGATTATGGTATAGAAAGTTAGCATGGGTTGGTGGGCATGGCAGGGAAAGGATACTATAAAATCTCCACTCCATCCCCACTCCTGGGGGAAGTTTATTGCAAAATCCCATTGCCTTCTCTCCCTACCCAACTAACCTGCTTTCCAGCTCTGTTCTCCTGTGCAAGGCAACAAAAGAAGACACAGCCAATCAGCTGGGTTCATCTCCAAGTGGGAAGAAAAACACTGAAAACATGGAGACTGCTTGGTTTTAATGGTGGAAAGGACCACATTTTCAGGGGGAAAAAAAAACATGGGTGAGAGAGGGAGAGATTTATAACCTCTGTTGGGCATTGAACTTGCTTCCTGTGGCAAGAAATGTATCTTGATTGGTTGTCAGACACCCATGGGGCCATGCAGGGGTAACTTTGCAGCTTGTCTTGAGTCGCAAACTTGGTTGAATCTTGCTGGGTGATGCAATCTTCCCAGGTGCCATGTGGTGAGATGGGTAGAGGGCTAATCCTATCATGTCCTGAGGGCCATGTCTTCATCCCATCATCCTGGAGCTGAAGGGGCAGGGAGCTGCAGGAAGCTACTTTGTCTTTAAAAACATGTTTCTCCTTTTCTCATATGGGGAAATATAATATTCTGCCTTTTTAAATATTTCCTAGAATATTTTGTTCTTCTAGGAGAGAGGTGGATGCTAACTTTCTACACCATAATCCAGGATAAAATGTGCCTTATTGCTAACAGAGTATGAAGTGAATATATTTCACCACACCCTAAACAACTTCACTCTGGAAAACAACAGCAACTACGGGAAGCACGATCAAGATTATAATTTTACAAAGGAAAATCTCAAAATTCTGGTTGTTGCGCTTGTGTGAACATGCTAGAATTAATAAAAGAGGCAAAGTTATAACATGAGAAAAAGAAACAACGTGATGTACATGGGAGACTCGGGAAGCAGAGAATAGATGGGGGCAGGGCCAGTCAGAGGTGGTATTTGCCAGTTCTCTGAACTACTCAAAATTTCCGCTACTGGTTCTCCAGAATTGGTCAGAACCTGCTGAATACCACCTCTGATCTGGTGACATTTCCAACGTTTTGCAGATTTATCCTTAAACATCTTTGCAAACCTTGAAGGTGGAAAAGGCCACCTATAAAACATTTCATAAAGATGGTATAAACACTTCTATTGCTTCTTGTCTTGCCTTCTAGCGTTTTTGAAAATAGGTTTTCTCAACTGAAGCAGGTCCATTTGGGTCTGAAAGGACCAATTTGAACGGAGAAGTTGATGGCAGATTTTGACATTGCAAGAAGGGAGGTGGGAGAGGAACGGGGAGAGAGAGAAAGAGGGAGAGAGAGAGAGAGATCTTGGAAGTATTAAAAGTCATATGCAGTGTGAATTGGTTTAGCCTTGCC